GTAATCATCCAATCATCGTGTTATATGTTTGCACTGCCCGCGTCATGCAGCATACCAATTTAAAGCTAAATAATTCTGCATTACCTGACACATTAATATTTCATCATAATCAATTAAGGGACGCCCGAGATATGGTCACTTAAAGTTGACCTAAAAAAAATCAAGCTTGGCAAGATTGTGCGAAATCAGAGTAACGCAAGTGTGGGTTTGTGCGTATATTGACGTGGATCAACATTGGTGGAATAGACATGTATTGAATATCAAATGAAAAGAGAATATTATTGTCTCTGCAAAGAACAGCATCTCTTGATGATGTTTTCAAACAGATTGGTGAACAGAGCAGTGGCAAAATACCTCACAAAACCTGGAGTTAGCATAACATGTGCTCATTAATATTACGTTTGTTTTTGTTTAGAAGCTACTGGTTTTGTGTTGAGTACGAAACTCTTTTTGCACATGGACTGGGTTAGTTAGATTTTGGACATAATCATCTGTCAGTGAAGAAAAGAGGCCACAAAACTGTCATGGTTATGGTTGGTCTGGGGTGGGAGGAATAAAACAGCCCTCATGAGAATCACCGGATGGCTTGGTTTAGTGGATTATGTCGCGCAAGAGCTGGAACGGCATGTCTTACTCTTATTTTCGTCATGGTGTCATTCAAAAAGACATCTCCATACATAACAAATAACTTTCTCACAGTGCCAATGCCATTAAGTAATTCATGAAAAACGAAATCAAATCAACGTTAGAGTGGTCACCAGTAAATAGCATTACAATATGTATTCTTCAGATAAGTGAAGAGTGAAGTGCCATGAAGCATCAGTTGAAGAAAAACATCTTTGCTCCTAATGCAGACCCTTTGTTTGCAACTCCCTGTAACATTTGGGATGAAATGACAGATAATTATGGCCAAAATTTAGCAGATTCGATGACCAAAGGGTTCGGGCACTACACAAAACTAATGGCTCCCAAGCATAATAACAATAAACACATTTAATGTTAAGTCCAAATTTTGCATGGTATTTGTGATTGCTCTGTTTTACATTTTGTTTAAAACTATCAAGACAAATAATCAAAATAGAATATTGTTCATTACAATACAGAATTCTTCATTAATTGGATGTGTAATGTAAGTCTATTCTATCAATATTGATGCTCCTCAACACAGGCGCAAAGACAATTTTACGTTTCTTTAATTTCGCACAATTTTGCCAAGCCTGATTTTTTAAGGTCAGTTTTGAGTGACCATATCTCAGGTGTCATTTAACATAGAAGAATTATTAATGTTGTCAGATTATGCAAAATTTATTCAGCTTTAAATTGGTATGCTCCATGAGTAGGTAAATCTAATGCGAGACTTTAACACGGTGATTTGGTATTTACATTTCCAAGTTTCTTCTGGACGCCACTGTTAAGTGTGTGTGTGTGCGCATGTATATGTATGTATGTATGTATGTATGTATGTATGTATGTATGTATGTATGTATGTAT